GCAGTGGGAGGCGTCAGAGTAATAACAAGAACCCCAATCCTTAGGATATGGGGAATAAAGCAGCGGCAGAGAAAGTTGTCGATTGCGCCGACAATGGTACGCAAGTTCCCTGCGTAAGGTAGCGTGCCGCACTGGCGGCCCGCGTAAGCCGCCGTGTAAGGTTGCTTTGTCATTTCGGTTAAGCCCCGTTTATTTTCGTCGCTCGTGTCAGTGTGTGCCCGATCAACGATGCCAATTTCGTCCGACCCGACAAGGGCACGCTGCTCAGCCAGCGGGTGCGTGAGGCGAGCCGCGCGGATCTGCTGGAGGCCTCCGCGCAGCTGCTGCGGCAGCTGTCGTTTCAGGCCGGTGGCCCCTGCCACCTCCGCCTTCGCGAGCCTTTGCCTAGTCGAAACGGTGGGAGCGTTCATTAAGGACTGTGTCCAGGAGGCCTCACACCGTGGAGGCTTCCTTATCTGATGAGGGTGGCGATGACATCCATGGTCAATCGACCACACGAGTTCCACTGGTTTCCAGACCCTGGGTTACTTATCCAATGGGTCCTCATCTAACGTACTCACCGTACCAGCCGGTCGCTCTGCGGTTAATCGGGAGAGTCTGAGCGTTCTGACGGGTAGCTTCGGTGGCCGCAGCGAAGCGCACATGCAGGTAACATAGCCTCCGCAGTTGCGGATAAGAGTGAACGGACGTGGGGCGTCGGCAGCCTTGTGGGGCTCGAGAGCAAATTTGAAGAAGCCAGCCTGGGGCGCCTACTTTTTCCATATTGCACAACGAGGCCGTCGCATGCGCCGGTTTTGGGGTCAATGCAGTGTTGGTTGGCCGTGGGCGGGTCACAGTTGAGTCGCGTTTGGGTCGCGGGTGGGGCGTGGGTGTGTTGCGGGTGGGTCGCAGGCGGCGGGTCGCGGGCGAAGGCGACGATGACAGAACAACATCAGCAATAACAAAAGCAGCAGAAACAGCAACACTCATTATCATAGTGTTCGCTCTTCGCTGCTCGCGTGTCATGGAGCATGTGTACCCTAAATATTCGATGCTCGCCCTCTACGTTTTCGATCGTACCCCCTTTCGGGCTATCTCTTCCCTCCCTTCTTTGTCCTTCTATTTGTCCAGCCCTATGCGACGCGCGTTCCGATCCGACCAGATGTCCCAGACTTTCGACGACGTGGATTGAGCAGGGTGGCTCCCAACACGTCTGGGACCCCTTCACCAGGACCGGCTTTGCATCCTTGGCAGCGACGCTGCGAAGGCCCCCACATGCCGAAACTTGCCGAAAACTTCCAGTCATGAGTTTTGCCACCGTGCGCTATGCTTGATGGGCTTCTTTTCCACCACCACCACCACAAGTTGGAGGGGGGAAGGTGGAGGAGGAGGAGGAGGAGGAGGAGGAGGAGGAGGAGGACGAAGAGGAGGAGGAGGAGGAGGACGAGGAGGAGGAGGGGGCGGAGGAGGACGAAGACGAGGAGGAGGAGGAGGAGGTCCCCCTCCCCCTCCAGCTTGTGATGGTGGTGGTGGAAGACAGGCCCGTCAGTGCTGGCGGATCCCGAAAGGACGCCGGGGACCTCTGCGGCGAGCGGCCCGAGGAGGCCTCGCGGGACGGCGCGTGGTCCCCGCGCCCGCCCGGCTCCGCCGAGGGGGCCTCGCCGCAGCGCAGCGACGCCTCGCCGGTGCTCGGGGGCAGAAAAGAGGGGGGTGATGACTAGGGGGTGGTGGATGTCATGGCGGGGGCCGTGATATCTCTCCAGCTTTCATGGCGCCTCTTCTTATTCCCTACCTAGGCTCTGCCTAGAAGGGTTCTTACTATATGAGCTTAAAGGGCCGGGCAGTGTAACCCGCCCCGGGCGGTTCCCCCGGCATCCGCCCCGCGGTTCTCCCAGTGACGTTCCCTTAGCTCAGCGTTGCTTATCTCATCTTAGCTTAGCGTATTTGATCTTAGCTTAGCTTAGCTTCATCTTAGCTCAGGTTTATATTAGCTTAGCTTACAAGCAGCTTATCTTCATCTTAGCTTCGCTGAGCTTTAGCATAGCAGAGCACAGCGTAGCATAGCATAGCGTTGCATATAATAGCACAACGCAGCGCTGCATTAGCATAGCATCGCATAGCATACCATAGCCACTCATTGTCATAGCATAGCATAGCATAGCATAGCATAGCATAGCATAGCATAGCATAGCATAGCATAGCATAGAGCAGCATAGCACAGCATTGCATAGCACAGCTCAGCATAGCATTGCATAGCATAGCATAGCATGACATAACATAGCGCAGCTTAGCATAGCATAGCATAGCATCGCATAGCTTAGCATAGCACAGCGCAGCATAACATAGCATCGCCTAGCATAGCATAGCATAGCGCAGCATAGCATAGCATAGCATAGCATAGCATAGCGCAGCATAGCATGGCATAGCATATAATAGCATAGCATAGCAACTAATGCTGCTTTCCTTGGGGCTCCAACTTCTAGGTAGGGTCGCACTGGAGTGATTTCATTACGTCCCTGGCCCCCCCGCTGGGCCGCGCACATGCCGCCGGTCATGATTTGCGCTCCCGAGGTGCGGCGGGCGCCCGCGGCGGCCACGGCCGCGAGGGGGAAGCAGCCCCGCGGGCAGCCCAGCAGCAGGCCGCAGGTCTCGGGGAGCGCCAAGCCAGGCAGGATCGCGTCGTAAAAAAACAAACAGGATTGGTATGTTCTTGGCATCGCTCGGACGTGTGCATTTTTCCATCGGCGAGGACCAAAGGAGGAGCATCCTTGATCATTCGGCGAAAAAAAAACACGCACGAAACCGAAAAAAACACACAGGGAATGGACGTCCGAGCGATGCCCAGTGTTTGTTTCTTTGCTATTTTCGGCCCCGGGGGGCCCTCGCCGGGCCTCGCGACCGTCAAAAGACTACGCAGGATGAAAGACCGGTCCTGGGGAAGAGGTCGGGACTTCCGTGGACCCCGTCCGGAAAAAAAGCTGGACGTCGCCTGTCTGAGAACGCTTCTCCTGTGCTTCACTTGTCGAACAGCCGATCAGAGGTTGGAGCCAGGATGCGCTCGAAGGATGACTTTCCCCAGCGAAGTACCCCAACAGCCGTAATTACAGATGAAGAGGCGAGTCGAGGAGTTTGTTTCATGTGTGGAACAGCTGATCAAAGTATTTAGCCAGGATATGCTCGAAGAAGGAATAGAGGCGAGTCGAGGAGCAGCTGGTCGGCTGCCGAAAACGTGTCGGGACAGGAGCGAGAGCACAGCCATGTGCCTGTTTAGCTTGGTCCCCACCGGACAGGTTGGGGTCGTTAGGTTGTAAGAACAGACCTCCTGGCCGCTCCCACCGTGCATACCGCGGCCGCCAGACCCCAAGTTGTCCCGAGTGTCACGATAATCCCGCCTCGCGCCTTCGACAAGCATGACAGGACATACCCTGCATACCGCGGCCGCCAGACCCCAAGTTGTCCCGAGTGTCCCGGTAATCCCGCCTCGCGCCCTCGACAAACACGACAGAACACACCCTGGATACCGCGGCCGCCAGACCCCAAGTTGTCCCGAGTGTCTCAGTTATCCCGCCTCGCGCCTTTGACAAACATGACAGAACAATCCCTGCAAACCGCGGCCGCCAGACCCCAACTTTTCCCGAGTGTCGCAGTTATCCCGCCTCGCGCCTTTGACAAACACGACAGAACACACCCTGCATTCCGCGGCCGCCAGACCCCAACTTGTCTCGAGAATCTAGGGTGTCCCGCCTTGCGCCCTCGACAAACACGACAGAACATTCCATGCATACCCCCGCCGCCAGACCCCAAGTTGTCTCGAGAATCTAGGGTATCCCGCCTTGCGCCCTCGACAAACACGACAGAGCACAATATGACACAACAGAACATGACAGAACAGAGCAAGAACAGGACAGAACATGGCAGAACATAACATATCAATCTCATGTCCAAATAGAGGACACCAGCATACCACACAACACACAAGAGTATAGCATTACAGATCAGACAACGACAGAACACAACCTATTATAACATAGCCGAGCATAGCGGCGAACTTGCCAGACCACAGCATGCTACACCAGAAGGTAACATACAATACCGCGAGCATGCCATAACATAATAGAGCATACAACAACAATATCATGACATCAAGTAATATTATACCGCCATATGACACATCATATCATAGCACGGTAGAACAGAAGGCGGCATAGCACAACATGGCATAGCAGAACCGAGGAAAGCATACGGCACCTTTGCAGAGCATCCCATAGCATTGCACTTCTTCGCAGAATGTATCAAAACACGACAGCATAGCATATCACCACATACTAGCATAGCAGGTCATAATATATTATGTTGTGCCGAGCCGTCCACAAACACAACATCACATAACACACCAGAGGACATCATGCCATACCATAGCACGACATAACACAACATAGCAAACGATAGTCGAGCATCGCACAACACACTATGTCAGGATACTTCATATTATGACACAGCATTACAGACCATACCATAACACGGCACCAGCGCCTTACGAAACACACTAGCAGAGCATATCATAACATAATGGATTGAGCCTAGCCGTCAACAGCATCACGGAACAGAGCATAAGATAACATTTTCTGGCATAACATGCAATAGCATACTGCCGCAACGCAGATCATACCATAGCCTCTCCAACCATATGGTGACATATATGAGCACAGAACAGCATATTCAACCAGAAGAGAAACATATAGATGAAGACGGGCATCACAACAGACGACGCAGCTAACGTCACAGTCGTCACGACGTCACGCCAGCCCGTCGACAGCATAAGAGGACATAATAGAGCATAACATGACATATCGTTGCTGCATTGAACATGCCTGAACCGTTTTTGAGTACAGAAACGGCAGTAGTGCAGCGGAGGAAAGGACTACCACGACAGAGCAGGAAATAGCAAGGCATACTACCATATCATTTCCTACTTTACAATATTGAACCTAGCTGGCAACACCATCACGGAACATATCATAGTAGAACATACATTTGGGGCAACATATCATGCTCTAACGTTGTGCCAAAGGGCAGAGTATAACATAGTGTAATAAAGCATATTGTCGCAGAAGCGTGCATGACATAGCATACGTTCACGAATGAGATAACAGAAGGACAGAGGGATACCGTAACATAATACACCGTACGTGCATTTTGGCCAGCAATCAAGAGTCACATGTATGAGTGATACGACGATATCTCTAGCGTGACAGGCGTCACGACGCCACGCCGACCCGTCGATATCAGAACATCAGAGAAACAGCGTCACATTCTACATCGGGGCAGAATCCTACCACACACACACGCACACACACACACTTTAGCACAACATCGCGTATACAGCAGCCCCAACTCGACGGTGTCGCCCAGGCGTCACGACGTCACGCTGGCCCGTCGAGAACATACATAGACATAATGGGGCATAACATGTTAGAGAGTTACTCCATGGAATACTGTCCAACGCTTTTGAATACAGCAATGCCTGGCACTTCGCACATCCTTCCAGTAGGCGCGCGCACCGTTGGGACCGAGCGCCGAAGGAAGCAAAATAATTGTTTACAACGGGATCGTGGCCCTCCAGATCAAGATTGTGGCCGGCGTTGACGCGAGAGCGCTCTCGGGGGCGATCTCGGGCTCGGGGGCGGCCCTGGGCTCCTGGTCCTCCCTGTGGGACTCTTTTGGCTGTGGTGTGAGCGTGAATGTGGCTTGTGTGTGTGCGTGTGTGCGTGTGTGCGTGTGCGTGTGCGTGTGCGTGTGCGTGTGCGTGTGTGTGTGTGTGTGTGTGTGTGTGCTCCTCCTCCTCCTCCTCCTCCTCCTCCTTCTCCTCCTTCTCCTCCTCCTCCTAGTGTGTGTGTGTGTGTTTGTTTACCTCTTTCAGAACCTTTTCTTAGAGATGCGCTACTATAGGGGGAAGAGGCACAGCTAAGCAAACACTGTTTGAGATCCACGCGTGTTTCTTGGATAGGCGCTGGGCCTCCGTGGCGGCACTCCTGGCGCGCTCCGCGCGCCAGGGAGGGGGTTCAGGGCGGATTCAAGAAATCCCGGCGGAGCTCCAAAAGATTATGTTGATGCAGTTTTCTCTCGTGGACATGAAGTGAAGGCGACAAATTTGTGAATCAAGTTGGCCTTGAAGCAAGAAATTCTAGACGTTCGCGGGGGGGTTCGTGTTCATGTGCTGGCACCCGTACTCTGGAGTGCTATCACTGAACGCTTCACCGCCCTCACGATGAAGCTGCTGATCTCAAAGAGGGGACCGACATAGCACAGCTCTAAGAAGAGGAAGATGATGTCGCTGTTGCTGTCGGTGGAGTTGTTGTTGGTATTCCCGTACCGCTGCATGTTGTGGCTGCCGTCGTATCGAATGTGTCTTGGTCTGTCGGTTCCAAATTCAGATAGCAACCAACTCGGAGGCATTTTAAAAGCTTGGGTCGATCAGGATCAGCCTCGGCGAAGAAGTGCAGGTCGTGGTCGGCTCTCGCAGCTTTGTTGTGGTGGGTGACTGTCTATTATACATTCCGATCAATCGTCCGCGCTCGATTGTATACTCTGCCAACTTTCCTTTCCAGGGGAATGAGAGGGGTCGGCCAGGGCATCTGGTTCTGGCTTTCTGAGTCCAGCATACACCCAAGCGAGTTGATAGGTCCACCACTTCCTCGCATTTCTCGCACATGAGAGTCTTGGTCTCGTAGTTCTTGAACTGCGTGTCAAAGTAGTGAAGTGTGGGGTCCTGCAAGGCAGCTCTGTTATGGAACAGTCGTTGTTCCCCTCTCTTCGTCAAGAATCGGTTGGAGATTGATGATAACATGGCTGTCTCTGCCTCCGTGAATGTCGTGAGCTTCCGTAAAGTATTGTGATGTTATTTTGTGTCTCGGAGCTTCGCGTGGTGCTTGTAAACCTGACCCCGAGGGAGTGGAAGGCGAGGTCGCTGGAGAACTCGTGCTTCGTAGTCGACTCGAGGTCGGCGTGGTAGTTGGTGGAGTCGAGGCTGCCTGTGATGCTGCTCGTTGTGGTGGTGAAGCTGGTCGTGGTTGTTTGCCCCGTAATCTGTGCAGTAGCTTCGGAGGAGGTGATCCGTGGTCACAACTCAAGTTACCTGTCCACAATGGTCGGGGATGAAAACTATCTGGGAAGAAGACGTTGGACCATGACTTCGTATCGGGTTGTGTTGCGAACAAGCTGGCCCAGTTGGAAAATAGTGAATTCACCGTCTCGGGGCGTAGTGTCCGTAACCTTCCTTGAATACCTGTGCCCTTGGATAATCCTAGAGCCATGAGTTGTCGGCATTCTTTAATAGCTGGAAAGGCAGTCTGTGACTGCTTCGTGGCTTTGTGGCATGGCGTTGTGCTGGCCTTCTTTCCCACCTTGGTGAACAAGTTGTTTGTGGCAGTTGAGAGCACCTTGGCTTGGGTACCTACCGAGACCAGACGTCCGTCGTCCCCACGTCTAGCGACGAACTCACCCGTAGCGGCCACAAAGTCCAATAAGATAAGAATGTTTGCTGTTTGCGAGTTGGCTAAGGTCTCAAACTTATCCGTCTCTGCCGTGTAGGTTGGGTTCGAATCTATCCAGGTAGTTGACCAATACCAGAAGGGAGGTTCTATCAG